TTGCCCTTATAATGTTAGTATGTTTTTTTAGATCAAAAATAGTCTTAATTTAGAAATAAAAGGCATTTTTCCTAGCCTGATTTTAGCCTCTGCTTTGAACGCTCCGTTTGAAGGGGTGTGTCTGCTATGGGATTCAGTGTAATCGCCCTCTGATGTGATTGGGTGACATGCTTGCATATGAAATAGCTGTATTACACGTGGAACTCTCTCGAATAATTTTACTACAGCTACACGTTTTTACTATCACAGCTATCGAGATTAACGAATCGTAAGAAATTTTCGAAGTATTTAGATCTATTCCCATCAAATAAAATATTGCTGTGATGAGCATTGAGCAAGCAGAGGACAGTATTTTGATGGCGAGGATGAAGATCTTATCATTGCAACGCAGTTTCTGCTTTCACCAATGCAGAAATGATCATGTACAGTAAGAGCTTCGTTGTGCAGTGTAACGTGCGTCATTGAATCATAACGAGTTTGGCAAGTGTCCAGATAAGCTCGCGCTGTGTGGAAAGATTGTTCTTTGATCGCTTTCTGTATATAATTTATTCACAATTTAATTTTTTTTTTTTTTCATCCTACTAAAAGAAACGATGTGAAGATGATTTTTTTAGTCACTGGCTTGACTTACTGAAACAGTATTGAACGATTTTGAGAGAAAGATTACCTGTCTGAACTTGAACAACAGTATCAGAAAGTGTTGTTAGCTCGATCTGAGGCTAGCTCTTGGCTCAAGTTGAGGAAACAGTCGTCGGTGAAATGTTTGGAAATTTCCAGAGAAAATAAAATTAACCCATTGTTTATTCAGAGGCTCGGAAGAAGGAACTAAAAAATACTTATGTGTTCATGTGTACATCCAAACACTGAGCAACTGTTCCTGCGCCTGCGCACTTCCGCCTGTCATTGAACATAGGCTGGCATATGCAAATGTTTGGAGTCCTACATATTAATGATACCGATTGTTGCGTCACAGTCGGTGTTATGTGGAGATTCGCCTATTTTTTTTTTTAAGTAAGAAGGAGAAAACAATGGTGTTTGAGACTCTGTATGTCATGTCCATGTACTGAACTCTTGTTATTTAACTATGCCAAAATAAATTCAATTTCACATTCTAGGGCACCTTTAAAGTAAAAAAAAAAAAAAAAAAAAATTAGTGCAACTTAAATAAAGTAAAACCACTAAAAGCCTTCCTTCCGCTAGAAAAAAAAATAGTCCCTGACTGTGACCAGCAACAAAGTTTCAATGTGTAATATGCATGAAAGCTCAAATAAAAACACCATTGGAACTGCAGTGTTGCGCAGTGACAAATAGAACTGTTGGGTGAAGCGGTCATAGCCGTGTTTTATCGTGAATAATCAGAATCAAGGATTGGAACTAACCGTTTTATAAGTCTTATTACATCACATGAAGTCTAACACGGTGTGATGGCCTGTTTGTTTCCATGGCAGCAGGGTGTTGCTCCCTCCTTACTTAAATCAAATAACCTCCATTAAAATACACTGTATGACTTCAGCCAGCTGGAATATGTTTTTATTTGAGGATTTCTTATGATGTGTCATAAATGACAGGAACTTTTACTCGTCCAAAAGTGTTCTTAGCCTATTCTTAAAGTCACCCACATTAAAATGCATTTTGAACTTTGGCCGCTTTCTTTTTAAACGCATATACTTGAACTGTTTTTTTTTTTGGAGCGAAACCCATTGGGAACGAACACCAGCCAATACCGTAGCCTTCTTTTTTTGGCTGGTATATTCAGCAGGGATCACACAGTGTCCCCTTTGAGTTCAGTCTCCCCATGATCCTCATCAACAAGGATGCCTCAGATGGCGGGTTATTTTTGTGATGTGTTTTCCGAACGCAATAGTGTGGGTGAGCGCTTGTGTGCGTCTAAAGGAATGTGTGTGGTAATGAGATGCCATGCCAGTGTAGAGGAATGAAGATGAGCATGCCATCATTGGTTTCCTGTTTTCACATTTCTGAAAGCTAGTCTGTGTACATCTCTGTGTAAAAAATAGCCCAGGACATGCTTGTGGGATATGGCAAGACGTGTTTGTGCATGAGATTTAAGGAGTGAATTATTGATTCTCAGAGGAAGTGCAGCTTTAAATAGATGTTTTGTTTGTGATTTTGGTTTTTATGTTGGGATGCTAAGATGCTTTAGGTCTATCAGTGCACTTGTTGGAGTTTTATCTCGTCAGGACCGGTCACTGTTTAGAGCGGGTCTTAAAATAAAGCAGCTGTGTGAGCGTCTACTGCAGGTCTGTGTGCTGGAGGTCACATGAGTCGTTCTCATGCTACTGTGTGCTCATATTTCATAACACTAAAGGAGGTGATGAATAGAGAGATGCTCTACTCTTTTAGACATGATCCTGTGGTTTGTAGAAAAGCAGGCTCTGATTTAAAGGGATAGTTCGCCCCCCAAAAGTGAAATGTGGTTATTATTTACTCACCCCTATGTCATTCCAAACTATGATTGGGTTTAAGCTCCTGAGGCTTCATGAGCAGCTGTAAACAGTGTTATATCAATGATAACTATGGCGTTGGTATTGAAAGTCCATTCAATGTTTTTTTCCCCTTGCTGCAGAAGCAGAAGGGAAGCGCTCTCATTGACATAGAGATACCACTTAGGCCAGGGGTAGGCAAGTTGGGTCCTAGAGAGCTGCTGTCCTGCAGAGTTTGGCTCCAACACTGAAAAAGATCTCACCTGCCGATAGACCATTTTGCAAGATGTAAACAACACTGGTCCAGAAACACTTTCTGTTTCAGTTTGTAACTGTTTTATTTATTTCACATGTAAAGAAAAAATCTTAAAGATGTTTAACTTTTTGATTCAGTTTTATATGTTCTGTTGGTTGTATTTTATCCCAGCTTTTATGTAGTGTTAAAAACTGAAACAGGAAGTGCTTCTGGACCAGTTTTGTTTACATCTTGCAAAATGGTCTATAGCCTTAGTAATCCTAAAGACATTGATTAGATTGTTCGGGTGTGTTTGATTAGGGTTGGAACTAAATTCTGCCGGACAGCGGCTCTCTAGGACCCAACTTGCCTACCCTTGACTTAGACCTACCCAACTTTTAGTTTTTTACATAATTTGCATGTACATGCAGCTATAACACACTAAAGGAAAGGTACTGTTCAACATTTTTGCACTACCATAATAAGTGCTCTTTAATTTAGTGTTTCGTAACCACTTATTACTTTCTATCTCAGTGGTTCCAAACCCTGGTCATTGAGTACCTACTGTATAACTTGCACCTGCATGATTCTGCTGTGGGCGCCATCTTCTGGCATTAAGCGGAAATTCATTTTTTGCGACCCTCACAGTGCATTATAGGTAGGCAGGTCCATTGTGGTTTTGGACTTCACTTTTTAAATAGTGACTATTTCGTTTGCAGCCTTTGTTGCCTTAAACATACACACCTGATTCAACTCATCAGCTCATTGGTTGAGACCCCAAAACAAATGGGCGTTTGCACAAAATGGGTTTCAGATATGAGAGACATTCAAAAGGTGTAAAGTTGGGGGTACTCAGGGTTTGGGACCAGTGACCCTCACAGGTTTGACATCCAAATGATATTCGAGATATCTGCTGTACTTATGATGGCGGCATGCAATTTATTAAGCTTAAGGCAATTGAAACAGTGTGAATAAAAAGGCCTTATTTCTTTGATTAAACCTCTAACTTCACACTCTTTGCATTTGTATCAAATGCTATTCCAAAGAAGAGCCATTCCAGCTTGGATTATATAATCAGGTGGATGTATCGCTCCTGGCAACAGCATGTTATCTTTGCATAGCATCAAAAGGAAATGCAACAATTTGTGCCATTAATGTCATATTTTTCTTCCAAAGCCACTACATAAGTCGAGTGTTTAAAATAACCACCTTTTGTGATCTTGTTATGGAATTATGCAAAAATATATATTCATTTATATAAAGTATTTGCCGATTATATTGTAAATTCTTATAAAAATTGCTGTGGTAGCTTGAAGAATATATTCTCAATTGTGTCGTTTATAGAGTCAAAACATTTCTATCTGCATGTTGCGAAAGCTGGATAACTGTCCATAAAAGGGATTTTGTAGAAAGGTCACAACATTGACTTCTATGGCCCTATCTCAAATGGCACACTTCATATTCACTTACGGTCTTGTGGACTTACAATGGTGGCTGGCGTGTGTGCGTGTCTGTTAAGTCCATGAGACCGTAGGGTGTCCCATTTGTCATTTTCAGAATGGTACTCGCAAGTTCCATGGGATATGTGATGATGTAGCATCTTATTTAAAAAGCCTGATGCTGGTAACGATTCACTGCCTTTATATGGACGAGTATGGATGAGTGGAACTGGAGTGCCATTTTCCTGCAGAGTTTAGCTCCATCTCTGGAAAAAAAAAAAAAAAAAAAACTCACCTGCAAGTAGCTTTAGTGATCCTGAAGACATTGATTAGCTTATTAAGGTGTGTTTGATTGGGGTTGGTGCTAATCCAGTACCGATGTTGCCTATCCCTGGCATACCAACAACAACGGGGGGAGTAAATGATGGCTTTAATTTCCTTTTTGGGTGAACTATTCCTTTAAGGCCCTTTAGATGACTAACAATAATTTTGTTATAGTAATGTATTGCTAGCCTTAGCAAACATCACTAGTAAATGGTCTTTGCATTGTGATTACATGTATGTCTACATGGTGCATGAAACTTTTACTTCAAGAGATGTTTGGGATGGGCAGTAGAGTAGCTTTGCAATGAGCAATGGAGAACAAACAAATAAGGGACATGTTAAGTGTGAAGAGAAAGCCATCTCGTCCAGTGCAGGCATGCTGGGTTGCACTCTGACGGTCTCTTTCCCCGGTTCCCTCTCTCCCCGACATGCTCCGTGTCTCAATAGAAACCTCATGTACTGTATGTTCACTCTGCCTTCCCACTCTGAGAGAGAGAGAGAGAGAGAGAGGGAGGGAGGGAGGGATCGCAAAGAGCGAGAAAGAATCACATCATCTGAAGATCAGCAGAGGAAAGCAGCAATAGCAAGGACCAGCAGGGTTTGCCATGCTCACTCAGAGGAATGGGGCGTGTACCGGCTGCGTTCTGCCCGGGAAGGACGGCTCAGATCAGATGGATGTGGCAGGGTGTACCTGTGCCTGGGATTGTCTGACAGGGGTAGACGGCTGTTTATCGGACACTTCCTGCCTTTGGTTCCAGCTCCTGGCCAGGGCATACTGGGGGGACGTGGAACTGGGACTCCGGGAGGCCCAAAAAGATGTCTCTTGGCGCAGATTAAAGAAGACGACTCCGAGGAACTGCATGCGGGCTTTGGTAAGGATCTCTGGATCTGCTGTACAGTAGTTTAAGAGCAGCAGAACTAAAAAGAAGAAGATGGGTTCATGGTGACAGTCTGGTCCTGCATTTAAGGGATGAAGGGCTTTCACATAGACAGAGGCTCCCAGTGGTGTATTGAGTTACTCGGGGCTGAGGGGGGCAGATGGAGGAGATGGCTCTCAAGAATGCTTTGTGCGTCATTCACATCCAGGATGGTTGGTTAGGTCTCCTACATTGAGCGAACATGTAACATATTTTTCACAGCAAGACAACTGTGTGTGTACGTGCCCTGGTTTCACGTTTCAGTTATTGTTCCTATGCAAGCAACGGTCCCAAAAGAGGAAACTTGGGATTGAACGGACTTTTGATTGGGTACTAGCTCACGTTTTTAAACCCAAACCCAGTGGATGATGGTTTCATCTAGAGAACAGAGTTGTGATTGAGTTGTTTTTGTATTTATCTTTGGAAAAGTGTGTGTTCAAGAAAGAGAGACGTTTTTGTTAGACGTTTAAGACTCCACTGTGGCTCAAGAGTGACTCACGCTTGCCATAACTACGGGACGCACATGAATATTTGTGTATTTCGTCATGACAGCATTTGGCAAGAAAATGTTATTGCTTAGAGGTTGCTCTATTATAGCTGAGAAAACTTCCATAAAATGGATTTCATTTTTTTTTTTATTTAACTATTAGCTTTGTCTCAGATGTTTCTCCTTACATGTCATTAGAGAAGTGAAAATGGACACAGTTGAGACAGTCGTTGACAGTAGAGGAATAAAGCTATAAAATGAATGTGGATAGTTCCTTAAATCATTTAGTGTTTGAAGAATTAGATGAGAAAAGTTTGGGTTCATAGTGAGATTAGATTTAGGTATCTTGTCAAATATGATTTTGAGACCTTGTTTGGATATCTTATGAATTTCAATTTAATTTTATTGTTTTCTAGATAAACAAAAAAATAGCAGTAGATTAGATGGGCTGATACATATATTGGCGGAATTAGCAGTTTGTCAACTTTTTTGGCAATAGAACATATGAATGTGATTTCAAATCAAATTTCTGAAAACCATTAGACACACACCACTCTTTAAAGTTTAAAGTAACTGGTGCCTTTAAAAAACAAACAAATGTACTTGCCTTGGTAATGAAATGTGATTGTTATGTAACTCGTTCTTGTATTTGACTAAGGACCAATGGGATTGTGTGTATTATTCATGCTGTTTGATGGACTGGATGGTTTGTATGATGCTGTTTCTGGTGTGAAGGACTCTCACACAGGGCAGCCATTCACGTCTCCTGGCCTTTTCCGCCATTCAGATGAGAGCTTTTTCCAGCTGTATAATTTAACAGGTTAAATTTAGCATTGGAAACAGGGTTGTGTGCCCACCACAAAGACTCTGACTGGCTAATGGTAGGGAAATGAAAAATGAAAGGCAGAGGAAAGTTGTGCTGTTATAGTGGGCGTTGTTGGAAAACCACGTGTATGAGTCAAGGTACCATTAGCATATGAAGCAGAGTAAAGACGGGAAAGAGAATCCTTCACACAGCATTATGATCATATGGAATGATGCCAGAAAGTTCTGAAATTGAGTTTCTCATTTCTCATCATTTTTACATTTTACAATAATAACTGTAGAGGTGAATTCAGGTTGATTGGGAGACTTTTCCCCAGTCATCTCAATGGCAAAAAGTGGACCAATCAAGCTGAATTCACCTATATTTTATTTGCTATCCAATGTTCAATAAGTCAAAGCTCAGTAAACATTGCATGTCATGATGGTCACAGACATACAGTAGAGACCTTTAATTTCACCAAACTGATTGCTCACTTAAAAAACCATCATAGATAACGTTTTCAAATCATTTCATGTTGTATGACCTAAAGCCGTAATATCTAGTGGGTGAGTTGTTTACTTACATTTTAAGTAGCCTTCCCATAACACCTTTATTTATTTACACAAAATGAGAGGTGGGATTTATATTGTGCACTCAATGACCTCAGAGGAGGCGAGAGAGTCGCTCTATTGCGTTGTAACTTCAACAACTGGGGCCACTGTTGGACTTTGTCACTTCAGGAAAACTAGTAATTTATACACTTTTTAATGTCATATTTTGTAATATTTGTTTTCTTATACAGTTTTTGAGGAGTCTCCCTTGCCTCCTCAGAGAAATCGCCTTAGCTCCTTGTAATAGTAAATTTAATGCTAGTGTACTGCAGTGCATGCATACTGTGCAGTATACTGTATGCTATATACTATTTTATAAAACTGCATGTGAAACAGTATTATCCAGCAATAATATTGTTGCGGGAGCTCACTATGTTGTGTTTTTAATATAGAAAGTTGTGTCTAGTGTTCATTTTACTTAGCTATCACAGCCTATAATGTTGTCATTTTGTATTTTTAATTCAGATATCCTTCTCACTGTTTGGCAGTGCGACCAAATAGTTTTAAAGAAGGAAATGTTAAAGTCCCCCTGTAGTAAAAAATAATTGAATCCCTTAAAACTCTTATTCGATCACCAAAATGACACATTTAAACTTTTTTTTTTCTCTATGAATCGTATTCATGCCTTAATATACTGTAGCTTGAATGCAACACTTCATTTAGTATGCGGATTCATGAATATGCTAATAATCCCCGGCTCCACTCACGCCAGCTCACTCGGCCAGCTTACTCTAGTAAACGCCCGATGCACAAAGATATTGCTGTTTACTGCGTCGGACACATAACGGTAATTAATATGATTAGCCTTTTGCTTGACTAGGCTGTTATCAAACAGCTAATAATGTGTTGTTACACAAACCATGTTCCCGTTTGCATCTCAGACTCAGACAGCTGCCTTCTAACAATCATCAGAACAAGTCATAACGTCAGTGGAGAAAGGCATCATACATCATCATACATTAATCATACATTCATAATATACATCATACAGCCGCTATAGACCTTATGTAGCCCCGCCCCTTTTCAGCCCTGCGCTCTTTGTCTTTTGACTTCCGGTCTGTATTTTCACAGCGATCTTGCACAGGTATGAATGAACTGCTCGTAAAAAAAATTAGACATTTGTTAAAGGTGGAATACCTAAGATTTTTACATTAAAATATCCCAAAATCACAAGGCCAGTGTTATATATTTAGTTAAGATGACAACTTACAATATTCCAAATGTTTCAAACAATGTTTAAATCGCGAGAAAATTGAGATTTTAACCAAGGAAACGGGGCGTGTGAGCAGGGGTGAGCTGGGAGTCGCGAGTCATTCGTGTCATATCCGCTTACCTCGGTTTACGCTCGTACTACGTGTAGTCCTGGACAAATGCGGTAGTTGTAGTTGTGCGTTAGCGTCTATCAAGCAACAAACGTCAGCTTGTTTCACGCATTTGTTATGGAATGGAGCACAATTATTCTTTTCATTTATTCTCGTAATGTGAACTGTTGGCTGTAAAGGGGGTCGCACACCAGACGAGAAGCGCCGCGCCACGTTTAGGACAACTCCACAGTATCGAACACCGGACCCGCACTCTCTCATCAGTGTATGGCCAGCAATATTGTAATGTTTAATGACAGGAAATGAAGATAATGTCTGTTCTATGTTATGATTGTACTGTACAATTAAATACAATCGTTGCTGAGTCTGCATTCTGAAAATTTTACCTCAGAGCATCCGTTCACTGAATGAATTGAGAATCTCACCTGAAAAATCTAATAACATCAGCAATTGTCATTCAAGCAGCTGATTTCTGTAAATGAATGCAAAACTAAATGCATATTGCAGCATAGGGCGAAGTCAGGATCCATTTGCAACGATTTGAGACAAAAATAATTAAAATTTTATACAAAACTACGTAAATGGATTTTGAACACGGTCCTGAGGCGTTATTGGGCGCCGCGAACAGACGCCGAATGGCGCCGCCGGTATGTGTACACTTATAGATAATAATGTGTACACGACATGAAAAGATGTGTCAAATGTACATTAAATTGATTTTTTATTTTTTATAAAGTTACCAAAAAGGAGGACCGGCCACGTCAACTCCTTGCAAGAGACCTGCCCCTTCAAACCCTCTCCACCATAGCTTCGTCCAGTGACTCGTACAGTAACATCTGTGATAACTAATTTACTTTTTAAACCTGACTTCTCTTGCGGTTATTTCAGTTTAAGGAAAAACAAGCATGTCATTAAACACAACATTTATAGAAATCGAACTTTACCTCATCCATGACAACTAATTTTCGATTCCCGTCTGACTGATTTATCCACGGTGGAGTTGAAAACAACAGTTCCCATCATTCCGCGTTCCTCCACGTCGTCATCAAGCAAAGCCGTTGTTGTTGTTTTGAATGTAGCGCCCTCTAGCGGCATCTAAATCTTAGGTATTGTAGCTTTAAGACATCTGCTTTACAATGCTTATGATAAACATTACAATGCTCATGATAACTTTTGTTAACTCTACAATAAGTAAATCCACTTCACCAGCTAATTACTCATCGACAGCGATGCCATAGAAATATACAGAGCGACCGCAAAAACTGAAGTTCAAAAAGACAATATTCTAAAGATGACGGTGCCCACGTTGCTCTGGTGCATAAGGTCTATATTGCTAAATAACCTAGCATCTCTTGAGACTCCACTGCTAGTCTGCTGTTAAGGATATGCTAAATCCCGCCGACACATTGATGTAAAAGGTAGTTTGTGACGTCAGAAACAGAAACATGCTGATTAACTGCAGTTTTATAAATACTCAGCAATGGTGTTGACTTATGAACATTATGAAACACCACATAAACAACATTTTCTCCACACGGGGACTTTAAAAATCATCAAAAAAAATGTGCCATCCTATTCACAGGATGCATCCTGCATACTACACAGAAATGGTATGGGACTAGTAGTATGCTAGAATGCCTTTCCGAACTTCCCTCATGTCTTTGTAAGAGTTTGCAGTGGACTTTGTCCAACACTAAATGTACGTAATTTAATTCCCTCTGGTGAAGTCATGTTCAGGCTCAGTTGTGTAAAAGCCCAGCCCAGACTCTAGAGACATCCACAGCTGTCTGTACCTGAGCCCAACCACAAGCTAAAATACATCCATTCCCTTATAATACATCCATCTCCTGCAGTGCTAGACCACAGTCTGGTCTGTTTGGCAGTCAGAGTGACCCGGAGTCAATGTGGTGTTGTCAGAGCCTACCACAGTCACACACCCTGTTGAGGAATGAGATTCTACTGCCATTACTTTATAATGTAGCCTAAATGTCACACTTTTCCTTCGAGGATACTGACGTCACCGGCCCAAATGCTAATGTGAGTTACCACCTCCCCCCGCCAGAAGGACATTAGTGTTGTCGTGATGTGCATGTACATATGTGTTGGTCATTGGTCACATGGAAAGAAATGTCTCGGTTGAGTCACAGCATTTTCTGTGTGACCTTCATTCGATATTTGAGATGTGTAAAATTCATGTCAGCGATGCTTTATAAACACTCACAGGATACTCTGTTGCAATACCTCCTGCCTTTAAGAGAAACTCATTGTTTTCAGATAGCGAATGAATGACTGTTTGGAAACCGAAAAACTCTGTTCCAAAATCTAGTGAGCTGCCTTGCTGTCTAATATCACACAGATCACACGTTCACACATTTTCCCATTCCACTGTACTACTTTTCCGATTTTCATAGTAAATGTGTGACGTATATCATCAACCATCGAGCTTGTATCTTTTGCAGCATCTTGCGTATTACATGACATTCTAAACACACGGTGCTCTAGTTAAAAGAAGTTAAGCTTTTAAAAAATGTATCTTCAGCTTGCAGGATTTTTTTCCCATTGCACTGACATGTGTCTGGGGTTGCGTAACAAAACCAGACCAATTGCTTTTGAATAGCCCGATTGATATTTAAAACCCACCCAATCACGACCAAAACTAGCCCAATCACGTTTGTGTACTTCATGTTTTTAACAGCAAAAATGTGTTCTGTGTGAACCTGCCCTGAATAGACAGCTGCTTTCAAAGGCAAAATTTAATCATCTAACAACATGCCTAATGTAAAACACAGCATGTTGCTAAGCTAATGATGCAGTAATATAATTAGCATGACATACATAATGCCAAAGACTACAAAATAACAAAAGATGGGTCACTCTTAAGCCGCGTGTCCACCAAAGTGTTTTTCCACGCGCCTTTTCAATTGTTTTCAATGGGAGCGCCGCGTTTTTTAAACGCCATGAGCGTAACGAGGCGCTGAGCGTTTTTTTTTATATGCTGAAGCGCCGAGCACCCGCCGTTTTTACTGGTCGTTGGGAGTTGAAAAATGTTCAACTTTGGATAAAACGCAGGGCTCATCACTGTCACTTTTTACCCAGACGTCCAATCACAGTGGAGGAGGGGCGGGACTAGTACCACACCGACCAACTGTCAACATTCAAACTGCTGCTGATATTTCGTATCATAGCAACGAAACGTCTCAACGTAAAAAACGCTGCGCTGCCAAAACGCCCAAAGCACGGCATCTTCAGCAGAGCGTCTAGCTTTTTCAGCTGGCTAAAAACGCTTTGGTGGACACACGGCCTCATGATTTTGAATGGGGAAGAATAAGTCCCGCCTTCTAAATAAGAGCCAATCGGCGATTGGTAAAATCATTGCGTCACTGCAGCCGCCGTTAGAAGCTCCGGTTCCTATAGAAACAGTCAGACGCTTCCACTGCACGTGCACATTAGCTTGATCCAGCTGAAAATGTTGTTTTCTGTCATGATTCGACTGTTTAGAAACATAATTTGAGACATTTGTCATAAGATTTCATTGGTGATTTCAAATATGAAATTTAATCATAAGCTTGGCGAACAGTGTTGGAGAATTTGATGTTTCCCCATTCAAAGAGATGCACTTTCATGCCTGAGATGCATTTCAAAGATGGCCGCCAAGTGAAATGACTTCTTTTAAAGGGACTTTGATAATGCATACAGATATTAGGCCAAAATAAATGCATTTAAATGTTTTTCAGAACATATTATTTGTGCAGTTCTGTGTTGACGGTAGTTCCGCTTCAGCTTCAATGAACTTTGATGAACTTCTTCAATGGTAGATTGTGTCCTGGGTCTCATGGTCTGCTCATAAGTACCAGTTTATCTGCATATCGTGATCATAATACAGTTCAGTGCCTATTAAAATCAGTTGGAACACCAAGAGTCTGTGTGTGAGTGCTGATGTGCCAGGTTAAAAAGGCAAACGTGTTTGCTGCTGCACTGGGACAGAGAGTGCTTTGTGTAATGAGTAAAGAGTGCCATGTCAGTTTTGGGTCAAACTCTTTTAAAACTTGCTTGCATTGTCAACTTTATTATGCTGCACATGTGGCAAAATAAATGACAGAACCATTTATAAATGAGGAAAACAGAATGAGTGTTGTCACATGGGGACATTGTCACAAAGGCCACTATAGGCTTTGAAACTCAAAAGTCATATTACTCAAAGGTTTGTTCTCCTTAGGGTGTTTTTTGTGACTCTTATCCTACTGGCTAAAATGTATATATCATCATATTTTTGTTATTGAATGGTTAAATATCTGATCTGGTAGCTGCAATAATTGAGTGTAGAGATATAGGTGCCAAAAACATTACCATAATGTCATCTATGTGGATTGTTTCATTAAAACATGTGTTGCCATTGAATAAAAGTATGTGAATGACTAAGTATTAGTATTTTGTTCTCTTTCTCAGGCCAAACAGAAGGATGGTTGTGAGCGCAGCGAGGCATCAGCTTTGTCTCCGGCTGCTGAAGAGGAGCCCTTCTCATGGCCAGGGCCTAAAACATTGCACCTACGCCGCACCTCTCATGGCTTTGGTTTTACACTTCGTCACTTCATTGTGTACCCGCCGGAGTCAGCCGTGCAGTCTTCTCTCAAGGTCAGTTCACAGAAAACACACGCGTAAAAGTTACCCAGATCATTGGGTCGATCGGTTTTGTCAGTTTGTTTCCTAAGCGTAAATCAGCTTCAGAGTCTCTTTTCTCCCTCTCCAGTACAGTGTGTGCTTAAGATTACAGTATATGCTTACTTTTAGTGCTCGTCTGCATACATTAATAGGATCATTTATGACGTTTGCATCTTAGGCGGGGGGAAGAGGGGTGCATCTACAGGACTCACAACACCTTGTAGTGCTGCTTTGTGTGTTTTTCAGGGCTTTTAAAGATTAAAGGGCACCTATTATGCACCTTTTTACAAGATGTAATATTGGTCTCGGGTGTCCCCAGAATGTATTTGTGAAGTTTCAGCTCAAAATACCCCATATTTAATTTATTATAACTATTTGAAAATGTCATTTTGGGCCCTGATTAAAAATGAGCTGTTTCGTGTGTATACCACCTTAAATGCAAATGAGCTGCATATCCCCGCCCTGCCTTTGGATGAGGGCGTAACTTGATACCTATGGCAGTCGGTACTGAGAGAGTGAGAAAAACTGCTGTTTTGAATGTCATTCAGCGTACGTTTGAATCGGAATTTATAAATAGTAAGAGGAGACTCCGGCAGAATAAACACAAATGAGAATGGACCAGTACGTCTTGGTATGGTTATTTGATACATTTATGTACTTATTGAGTTGTAATCGTGTCCCATTTGCAATTATGGATGTGAAACACACAGACACACACAAACACTAATGCTGGCGCAATTTTTTGAAACTACATACACATACTGTGATAAAGTTTGCTACGTACAAGCGAAATTACATTTATGCGAGGGACCTGTAGCGTCATGTTTAGCTTGTCATACAGGTGCTTCTGTGTCAAATGTGTGAGGAGATGGATAACTTACAGAACAACAACATATATGCAGTTTTTAATACAATATCTTTAAATATATATAAACGTGTGGTTACACACTATACAAACAAGGTTTAAATTATATAGCCTACACAGACATCCTACGACGACAACAACTTTAGACGCATTTGTTGTTGAATTGGCTTCCATAGACATCAACTGAAAAGACTAAAAATCATAAAACACACTTACTGTTACTGGAGGTGACGGTGGATCGCAAACAGTAGACGACGATCCACACTTGAGGATTAACTTTTGAGCCACAACAAAAGGATTAAGCCACGACAGAACATTTATGTTTCCAAGAGACATTACCGGCTGTCGTTGAAACAATGAAAGATGGTGTGTACAGATCACAGAGGGCGGGGTCTATGCCACAACCACACTGTCAATCAAACCCCTTGCTCACTTTCTACGTCACAAAGAGCTGAATCTCAGAACAGCTCGTTCTGAGACGGTGCTTATGATTTATTGAGATTGAAAAAAAAACACTGCGAACGAATGGCGCGAATTGAGCATCTGGCGCATTAAGCTCGTTAACGCGCGAATGATTTAGTTAGTGCTATTTGTGCACTCGCGTGTTTGACGCGAAAGTTGAAAAATCTGAACTTTGGCATCAATCCGTGCCACGTTAACCAATCAGGAGCCTGCTGCTTGCTCATGTGGTGAAGTCACTTAAAACTTTATTTCAATGTACGAGACATGTTCATTTTGTATTGAATGTTATTCATTCCATATCTAGATTATATGAAATATTATATGATGTAAAGACAACCAACATACATATGCATAAGTTCTTGTCTGGATGTGAGAGAAAAAAAAATCACAGGACAGGTTAATAACTTTTGGAGGCTGGCTCTATTTATCATCAAAACAAAAATAAATGACAAATTAGATGGATGAGGGCGAGGGTGATCCTCGCTCTGATGGGGGACAACAGGTCATCAAACTGGGCGCGGACTTGCAGTCATCCAGGCTAGCAAATGGTGAAACTCGCCAAACGGTTCGTCTCTGGTTCGGGTCCGGTGGACACAAATTCAGCAACAATGATCCCTACGCCGCTGTTTTAGCTCTCCAGAGCAAATACAGGCAAATACCAAAAAAATGGCCGCCAACGGGTTTTGATTATGACGCACGTAAATTTCGCCTCAAACTTTCGCGTCAGTTTCACTCTTGACGCGCAAATTAACACAAAGTTGTCAAGCGTCAAACTAGACGCGGTAGACGCGAATTTGACACGCTATTCGCGTCCGGTGTGAACGCACAGTTACAGATTACTGTTAGCAAACATGTGATTCACATTAATCCCTATGTCTGGCAAAAATATGGCAACAAAACTTTGATCCCACACAGCTCTTGATTTCATGAACGTTCTTGAAATATCTGAGTATTAACCCTCTTTCATCATCTCTCTCTTTCAGGATGAAGACAATAGCAGCAGAGGTGAGTTTAACTGGTCTGTGATCCACATTCACTGCATTTGTTTATTTAAGGCTTTTCTCTAATGCATGCTACAGACTGTGCAGTTTCTGCAATCTTATAAGATCATTATAAATCACACTGTACAACATGTACTGTATCTAATAAACTTGGGTGGGAACAAAATGTATGTAGACTGTATGATGATGACATACTGAATTAGGCTACAACGCAAGTTAGTATTGAAGAATAAAACATCAGCATGCACTAGTGGTAAACAAATAGAGTAAGATGAATGGCACTTTGGCAATTTGGGTTTTTATGCGCACTGAAGAAAAGGAGAAAGCGAAAGAGGAGAATATGGAGTGAAAGAGGCCAATTTTACAAATGGAGCTTGAAGTAAGTAGTTTAATAGTATCATGTCACGTTGATCGATATGCCATTTCATGTTGCATTTTTATTGGCTAGTCAGTAGACGTAGGTCGACTCGTAGCAGCGAACACACTGTGAGAAGATCATGTTACATTTTTGACACTTTTTATCGCAGCCTATCTTTGGTCACATCAGCTGTCTTTGAACCTCTCACTGTACTACGTAGGACCACCGTATAGGAGCCACGACCACAGAATACTACAGTTGGTCATCTTTCGTCTGGGACAGCCCAAAATCGTACATTGCGTATACCGTGGGTTCACTCGTAATTCTCAGATCTTCAGTTCTGTATGTGTCTGTCATGAGAGTGAGGTGTTATCTTCAGTGGCCTTTGTCTGACCTTGCACCATGTGAATTGTTGGGAATCTTTAATGCACGCTCCCGGGGCAGGAAAACTCCCAGCTGGCAGTGCAGCGTGCTCTTTGGCGGTTTATCAGCTGTGGGCTGGTGTTTGGTTACTTAAGAAGAGTGCCATGAAGGTTTGTGGAGTTAGAAATCATACAAGGTTTTATTTTTTTTCAGCAGAAAAGCAGCAAAATAATTATCAGTAGCCGTGAAATAGAGGGGTTTACAAGATTAGGGATCCAGTATACAGTAGATGCACATGATGTCACAGGAGGCGGGAGTTGGTGTTCAGCTTGAATAATGTGAAAAACACAAAAAACGCATCTAAAATGGTATAGAGCTGTGTGAATGACTGTACAAATAGATTCAACAAGAAATCTGAGCTATATTTTTACAGACTACCAAATGCTGCAGAAAACAGAAGCAAATGGATCAATTCCCAGAACGTGAACGTGGATCGGCAGTTACTTTGTGTCAGATATATTGATTTTTGGGGTAAAATTATACCCTAGGTTATAGATTGTATTGACAACTCATCAATTAAATATGCTCAAGCATCAAGTCATGTCGAATTTATTTGTATTGCTCTTTCCAAGCAGAAAGTCATAATTTTATGTCTATAAAGCCTTAGTACTTTACTAAGTTGTAGGGCTGGGCGATATGATGAAGTATAACATCGATCTAAGTGATCAACTGGATTTGGATCTACCTAGATTTTATTTGTAATATTGTATCAGATAAAGGGTTCACAGGCTTTGCTTTATGTATTTCTACAGTATTGAAATCAGGTTCATATACATGTCAGGAAAACAGATTCTTAGCTAGATGTTAATGTCAGTGCAGTGGCGGTTCTACTTTGAATTACACCCAGGGCGAGACCCCCTTCGAGCGCCCCCCTGAAAAAAAAATACTTTTATTATTAGAGGCTACTGTAAAAACTCATAATTAAAGTTGATTTTAGTTGATCATTATGAAAAGTATTAAATAATATAGAATATAGTGACCAAAATGATCACAGAATCTTGTTCTAAAAGTTAAGTTAATAACATTAAAGATTTGTTTTAAAGGAGTGTCTTTCATCTTACCTACTAAACTTTAAAAAAGGTTAACACAAAAAAGGTTTTATATAAAGATAAACCTCATATTTCAGCATTTAAATCATCTCTATAAAAAGAATTAAGTCAATAAAGATACATTCCTGACATTTATAATGCACAGCTTATCTTTTATTATTAATAGTAAAATTCGTACCAATTTTCCCATGGCTGTCGTTGTTATAGAACCATGCACTCATTACACTGCGCTCTCCAACGACAAAGAAGTTTTAGTAGCTAATGTATTTCCACCACAGAAGCTCTGCTAAAAGATTTATTTACGGAGAAGAGAAAAAAACACCCAAGTGTTTGGGTGCACGTGCACTCCCATACTGAAAAGTTTATGAGCGCGCTTCCCGTGCGCCTATTTGAAACATAGAGGATTTGAAATAACGACGACGAGCGTGCAAAAGACGCGATACGTGAACTAATCAGGAGATCCCCTTGATCCCCTCGCTTCTGCGCACGGCGCCTTCTCAGCAAGCAGGGCGCCATTGCCAATAATTGAATCGAAATGATAAAAAATAGAAAAACTTCGCGGCACAGAGGATTTTTTTTAACTGCTCGTGCCGCCCCCCATGTGACATGAAGAAATGCCGCCCCGGGCGACTGCCCGGTTCGCCCGTGCCTAGAACCGCTACCATGGTTTTTTGGTAGATTGTGAGAATTTGTCTTTTTTTTTTTGTAGTTTATCCATGTCTTTGACTTGCTCTGGTCAAAGCAGCACCATCTCTCTCACATCTCTCTCTGTTCTGCTGCAGTGTTTGTCAGATTTCCCCTCATTCATATCCAAATCACGTCTGATACGCACCCATTATGGCAACAGGAAACCCCACTCTGGCTTTCATCTGCCGCACGTATTTGTAATTGTTACTGCACACACACTCACTTCAACATGTCTCCCTGACTTAGAAACCCTTTAGTATGAGGTCAGTATGTAGTCCTGCATGGTCTCAAAGAACTTGACTGTAATAGAGATATATTAACAGTTATTATAAAACAGATTCTGAGGCTTTCAGTAGCTGATTGGACAATATGGCATTCCAGCTTTAGGACTCTTTTAACCTTCAAGATCTTTCTGTATGGAAGGATGGCAACTAAATGTTTCAATGATCATTTGTGCCCTTAACATTTTTATTATGTAGGTATATAGAAGAAAATAGGCATTTGGGATTTGATTACAGTCAAGTTCTGTATGCCCAAATAGGAAACTAATTCACAATTCAAGTAATTCCTACATGCTAAATTGTCTTTAGTAGTTAAGGCACCAATTACAGCCCATTTACATGCAGAGCTAAAGATATGTTGATGTCCACTTACAGCTGACGGAAGTGTAGGGATGTTCCCCAGAACAGCTGGAGTGAATTGATCTGCCTTTCAGTTAAATATTTTGTAAAGAGCTTTTCCTGCAGGAAATTTAGCAGCAGAAATTTCTCGTAACCATTCCTAAATGTTGCATTCCAGAGAGTTCTGTAAGGGGACGGGGGGTTGAAACTTGAGACTTTCACTCACACAGACACACACACACACAGATTTATTGTAGTGTTAAGGAAATGCTACCCGCATGTGTAACACACGCCTTAATTTGGCAGCTTGTATTACTTTGCTAAAGGGCAATAATACTCTTCATACTTCAGAGTGAGCTAGCTATAACATTGCTAGCTTGTTTTTAGATGATTTCTGGCCCATGTCAAAAGAACCCAAACGAGTCTCTATTATATTCTGGTTTCTATAAACTTCTTTATTATAGTGATTTGTATCTTAAAGCTGGGCTCAGACTACAAGAGTTTTTAAATCTTAATGGATGGTGAAATCTGGTTACATCACGCACACAAGGAGAGTTACTGTAAATCTCAAACCTGCACACACTACAAAATTTGAAAACCATGACACACTACAACATAATCTTAAGATAATCATGCCAGATTTAGCACCTCAAGGGATCTCACAGGGAAACAGATGTAAACAAAATGGATACTGTGTCACGGCAACTTGGTGTAGACATTATATGATGAGACATTATAAAGGCAGTCGTGTTGTTTCCACATTTCCACCAGCCATTCCTCCATCTCCATTGTCCACTGGACCCGTACAGCTGCTTGTCGTCTCGCGGCCGTCATTTTAAAAGTTTTGGGCCCAATCGTGGTCACCATTTAAAAAATGTTGGGCCCATACCTGATTATCTTGTTAGATTTTCCTGTGGTGTGAGTTGTGTTAAGAGTGATTGAATCTGCTCTGAAGAACGTCTGGGCTGCACTGATCTCCACGTGTTGAATATTTACGATCAGAACTCCTGTTGTGTGGAGGGAACAAACACTCTCGCATGTGCTCTACGTGTATATCGTCACATGGAAAGAAACGGTACCCAATCAGAAAGCAAGCAAGACAGAACCATAACGCTAGCCTGGCATGTCAGACCTGCATCAAGATGTTAGGTCTGGGAACTCATCATTGACAGGGCTCAATCCGAGGGGCGTGATAAACGGTTGTCTTTCAAATTCTCTCTGCACGCAATTGGATAGCGCTACAACCAATCAGAGCAACGAAGAAGCTGACGACTGAGTCCCATGCGTTATCCCACCAGCGGAGCAAGTTGATATTAAACTTGTACCGTATCCAGTCTGCAAAACTCAGAACAAGTGCCGTTCTTTGTTCTGGTTTCAAAGAAAAGCTTAAAGGGTTAGTTCACCCAAAAATGAAAATTCTGTCAGTATTTACTCACCCTCATGTTGTTCCAACCCCGTAAGACCTTCGTTCATCTTCGGAACACAAATTAAGATATTTAAGATATTAAGATCGCTCCTGCATTCAGTCCATAGGCTTCTTGAGGGACTGGCTCTTGCTGTCCTCGAAAAGTCATTAAAGACATCGTTAAAATAGTCCAAGTGACTACAGGGGCTCAATCTTAAGTTTATCAAACGACGAGAACACTTTTGTGCGCAAAAAAACAACAAAAATAACGACTTTATTTCAACTATTCGTTTATTTCTCCCTCTGCACGAGTCAGGTTACTAGTTTAATAGCGTAAGCTTCTGTTATTGTACGTCACACGCATCACACACACATGACCAGCGTCGGCCAATAGTGAGCCTACGTGTGACGTAGCTCTACGCAATCACACTACGTTAACTGACTTACAGGTTCATGGAGAAG